AAAGCTCTCTATACCATAGGTGCGCATCCATCGATGGAAATGCGTACCCGTCCCCTCGCGCATACACTTCCCGTGGTGCTCTCTCCATTTAACATTCAGGCGCCTCTCGGGTTTACCGATGTAAGCAGCCTTGCAATACGGTGAAATAGCCACATATACACAACCTCCAACGTCTTCCAGGCCCCTTTCATTCTTCAAACACCAACTCTTCCAATCTTCCACAAATTCTTCCCCCACGGAATACAACCACGAATGGTCAAAGCAAACAAAATCCATCTGTAACTAGCCTCGATAGCGCTGTCCACGCCTACACAATTCTTCCGTTGTCGTACGAGATCGCGACAAATAGCCCACAAACGTTCAGTCGGCCATACTCTTCAAGCATATCCCTCTCGCTACCTTCTTTAGACACTTCCAATGACGAGTCAGAGTCAGAGCTGCTTCCAGCTACGACTTGCGGAGTAGGAAGTCTAGCCTTACCAAAGTTTCTTGCCGCGCGCCGTTCGGCTAAGGCAGCGATCGCTTGGTTCTTTCGCACGTACACAACGCCCTCGTGTTTGCTAATCACTTTTATCTCCTTGTAGTCTAGCGCATCGAGCTGCTCAATCATATCCTTCACATAGCGGTCTCTAGCATCCGGGCCATTCCCAGGGGTAATTTCCCTGTTCAAGTTACGTGGTACGACACCCAAAGGTGGGCGTCCGCTGCCGTACATTCTTCGTGTCGTTCGTGTCAGGGGTGCCGATCGTCAGATATCTCCGAATGTATGTCCAGCTTTTCCGTTCCGGCGTTGATGGCCGCCATGTCCTCGTCAGTATCCGAGTCACTAGGTGCGAAACGTTGCTGAAGCTTCCGCTTAACTGCAGTGGCTCGTTTCCTCCGCTCTTGGCGGTTCTCCTGATCCTGAACCTGCCGCACACCTCCCCACCTTCTCGACACCTGCATATCAATGATTCTCGCGATTCTCAGATCGTTCTCCATTTGTTCACGTTTCTTCCTTCCACGTCTTCTCTCCTCTCTCGCAGCCTTCTCCTGTTCTTCTTGCTGCTTCTTGCTTTCTTCCTTTTCCTGGCGTTTCTTCTCCTTAGCTTCCTCTTTGGCCAGCAACATGGCCACCAAATCTGCAGCAGGATCCTTCCTTCCTTCCGAGCGACACAAATACCGGTCCGCTGAGGGAGACCTCCTTGGGGGTTCCCATCGGTTGTGACGAGGCGACGTGGATCTCGCTCGCTGAGGTTGGTAGACCGCTGATCGCTCCTTAGGTACATCCTCCGCCTCTTCTCATCGTTTATCCGCCTTCTCCTTCTCCTCTTTCCAGTACATGCCGCAATCCCTTGCGTAGTGCCTGTAATGTTTACACGAGTAACATTGCGGCACATTCCTACGCCCGGATTGACCGCCGCCTCCTGTCTCATCCTCCGGTGGCTGCTGGCTAGTAAACGCCATCGCACCACGAGAAAGCCAAGCCGCTTCTCAAATTCACTTCGAATTGCTCGAAACAGCTCTTCAAGCGGTCTCCGACAAAAAACTCAGTTCACACTTCTCACTTCTCACGGGTCAAAGTCTTAACCACCAAGTCGGAGTAGCCACCCTCCGTCGGTTATTAAGTGCTCGCGCAAGGGCAAAGTCCAACACACCACACGCAAAACGCGTGAGCACGTAGTCAATAGTAGATGACAACAGCAGATAAAAGACCCCCGCATAGCAGGAACCCCGATGGGAAATATTAACATCATAAACGTCATATCCCGTCGCCTCCGCCAACTGACCACATCCCCAAGAAACCTCCGTTCATTCCGCATACAAAACAGGCGGCCGCTCCTCCAGCTAACGCATAGCGCTAGCTGAGGGTATCGGCCGAAAGCCAGTCCGCTGTGAGAGGACAAAAAAAATAGAACACCCGCTATTTATAGTTCCTACCTCAGAGCACATCCCAACAACGAAACATACACCTAAAAGCTACTCCTACAACCTACTTGCAAAAACATCTAACCAGGGTGGCCGTCATTCCCCAGACCGAGCCTCTTTTTACAGCGAAGTTATCCAGTACCTTTACAAAAAGGTCTACCGGGAACCCTTCCCTTACGTAGGCCATTTTCAACAGAATAACCTGACCTGGGATTTTTTCGCGAATAGACGTATTTCGATCAATACACATCAACCATCCCGAGATGGCTGCCGCTTTCTGGGTCCTATTGGACCAAGAACCAAAATCCTGTCCAGCCCGGATGACCAGGTCCAGATTCCTCTTGAGGCTATCCCCATTACGTACTCTTTGAAAACACCCCAGTACAGGTTGTCGTTTCCGAACCTCCAAGTGGCAGCCAAGGAATTCCCAAAGAGTTGAGAAGACGAAGAAAAAGGAAAAGAAAGGTAAGGGCAAAATCGTCAACATGGACTCTCACATTTTCATTTATTTTTCTTCTAGGCTGTTTTGCCAGGCTCCCGGGCACCCGACTTTTGCCCTAAAACACACCCTTAGCTAGAGCCTGGCGAGGCATGAACCCCGACGTCTTTTTTTTTTTTTTTTTTTTTTTTTTTTTTCAGGGCCTGAAGGTCCTGGCTCCTTTCCATTCTGGGGAGCTTCAGTCCGGTTCCTATTCCACCGGCAAGTCAAAATATTTTTACAAATATGATATACCCACGCTTCCTTCCGTCTGGCCGAAGGACCCCTGAACAGCATTGATTACTCCAACCTAGTGGAGGGTTGACTGTCAGCTTGCCGTGCGTCACCCTTTCCTCTCAGATCTGTTACGCAGACCGGCCAGATATGTCCTCAGAAAAGCAGAAAAGTTGCACCACTACTCTGGCTGAGCCTTGATTTTCATGAACCCCAATGTTATGTACTAGTTTGTATCAATTGCAATACGAACGACTTTCGGTTGAGGGCCAAATCAGGATTCCACACGGATTCACCCTGGAATGTCTGCAATGCCACCGGCTTTCCTTGCGTTTGTCAAGTAACTGTTTCTTTTTATAGATTGAGATGGTTGTATGGAAGCAAGCTCCTGCCTGTACGATTCAGCACCCCAATTCCCCTCTTCTTTTCTGCGTTTTGTCCGTGTTTAGTATTCTCTCGTTTTCTTTTGTTTAGCCTCCTCTAGTTTTCTTTTGTTTTCTGTTTTCCTTTTTTTCTTTCCCTCTTTCTTTTTCTTTCTTGTTCTCTCTTTCTTGTATTCGTTTTGGAAGTAGGTAGGACAGGTACACAGCTTGGAGTGAAATATTGTTTGATTGTGGGATAGCATAGACTACTGTAGATTGGTGCTCGTAATGTTAGAATAAACTGTAGAACGGGTAGAGCAAAGGACGAGGAGAAGGATTGTAGTCACTGAAACACAATCGTGGCATGAGCTTTGCCTGGACGGAGAGCCTCACTCAGCTCACAGCTGCGGCACTCTTGTAAGGGACGCCAGCCCCGGTTCCTGGCTTTCATATTAATAAAGATTGATCCTTCTTTAAAGGATAAAAAAAAAAGAGTTCCACATGGATTCAACGATTAAAAAACGATAACTGCAGAATCCAATGAAGGCACCCCCCTTTGAACCCCTTTAGCCCCTTGAAAACCAATTTATACCGTCACCACTCCCCCCGCCTTAACAGCCAACATTCGAAAAGAAATCCGAACCCGGATTTGAGCTCCTCTGGGCATGTCCAGAAAAACCCCACCCCAAAAGAAAGAAAGAAGAAGGGCTGATATCTGCCTGCATAGGTTGCCCCATGCAGGTAACCCCCAGGTGCCTTGCCCGGGGTGCACGTACACGGACGTGCTGGAAGGCTGGGTGAGCGAAGCCTACCTTTTTTGCCCATCTGTTTTTTGCTATTTTAGTAACTAGTAGGCATCTCCTGAGAGATGGTATACATTCACAGGATGTGTGCAGTTTTTTTTTTAACAGGAGAGAGAGAGAGAGAGAGAGAGAGAGAGAGAGAGAGAGAGAGAGAGAGAGAGAGGGTGTTGTGTTCAGGGAAGACGGTGGTTGCACGGAACTTGCACCCGCTCATCAGTCTGACAATCAGTACTTACAAAGCACAAAGGTCAAGCACTAACCACCAAGTCGTCTCCTACACAAAGGACCAAAGGTTCACGAGCGAACAAGGAACGGGCATCGCCAAGCACCAACAAGTATTAACAAGTCGTAACGAGTACTAACAAAAACTTCAAAAAAAACTGCTTTCAATTGTAAGAACAAACGAAGCACTGAAGTTGTCTTAGTTGAAGTACAGAGTGGCAAAGCCGGTCTTTCCCAGACACAAACTATTTTTGTGAGGACAAGCTAAGTTCTTGTTTTATGTTATCAATATTTTTTTATTTTTATTTTTTTTTATAAAGAAAACACGAAGGCCCCATCTATTCTTGGGGGAAGCAATCCGGTTGCTAATCTCTACGAACTACAATGTTACTACTCACTTGACAGGAGCAAAGTACGCAGAAAATGGAGCTAAGCACGCAGAAAATGGGTCAGGACTCAGAAGTGCTAAGCCATCACCTTGGTACGAAGTTGCAAAGTCGACCTTTCCCATACACTAAAACACACAAACTCTTTTATGACAACACAACAAACTGCCAAGTGTTACAAAGTACTCGCCTCAGGAGCTAAGTATGTACAGTATGTACAAAGCACTGTAAAGCCGTCACAAGTGCTAAGACGTCACCTTTCTTTCGGATATTAAACAGGTTGTGACGCACGCACCAGGTGCACA